TTATATAAAATGAGTTTCTATTCCATAGAAGAATATTAAATTTGAATTTATATTAATTCTAAAGAAGAATAAATATTTAATGAATAACATTATATATATATATGTGTCAACCAAAACATTGTAAAAAAAGTTCACGTCGTACAAGACAAATTTCTGTTTTACGAGTTTGTCGTTGTTGTAAACGCATATCCAATTATTCTTGTAAATTAATGATCGTTAACTGATAGTGTTTCACCTTGCTTGCGAACATAGATCATTATTTACTCTTTCTCTGCTCTCGTAAAAGAAAAGAAATATTATTCAATTTCAAATGTAAACCTGTTTCTTGTTTCTTATATTTATCAGATATTCTTTTTTCCAAAAAAAAAAACAAAAAAAAAATCAAAGGTTTTTATTCCAATAGATGATCAGGAATATTACAATTTTGTTCAAGTTGTTTGACCATATCTTTCGTAACAACAACATTTTCATCAGTTAATTCTTTGACCCGTTTTAAAAATTTTTTAAGATTCATTAATAATTAATCTTCATTCTATAGTCGATCAAAAGACATATATTAGATATCAGACAAGATCTATAATTCACATTTTGTGTCTACGAATGATGCACACGACGAAAGTTGCCCACGAAACGGAAAATGAGGATTTCGAAGCAGAACGAACCGTTTCAATTTCACTGCCTTCACCATGACCTTTGCCCTCACCCTCACTTGCATCCGCACTTCACAGCCTCAGCCAGAGCCCTCAGAGTCTCAGTGCGCGAGTTTCGCCGTGCGCATCTTTCGGGATCCCTCACATTTTATTTGGTCTTACTTTTTCTGCCATCTTTCTCAATATCTTTTTTTCTTTATCGAAAATCGACACGAAATGAAATATACGTATAATATATAGGTATATATAGATATGAATTGATCATTCATTTTATGCCTGTTTTTGTTTTTTCGATATAAGAGAAGGTCATGGTAAAAGAAAAAGACAAAAAGACAAAAATGAACATAGTCAAGAATGATAAATTGACTCGACTACAGTCATATTGAGGAGAAGCAAAAACAAAAAACATATTTATTGATATATTTACCGGTTCATCATCAACAACTTCAATAGGTTCATTTCTTTTTACCAACAGCTTATCAATGATAGATAACAAATCATCAAGATTGATGAAACCATCAGTTAGAATGATATGAATAATTTAAATTGTGTAGGAAAGAACGGTGCTTGTTCACTTTAAACATATTCCATACACTAATTGGCGTATTTAACGCTCACACATCAAAGAGTGCGGGTGAGAGCATATGTTGAAAGTGAACAAGTACCAAAATCGCTTCTGATGATTTCGATTTACTTATAAATAATGAGTGTGGCAGAAGAAATTGCCGGCTTTCGATAGAATGTTTTCTCAAGTTAGACTGAATGAGAAAATTTCATTCTGATGTCAAAACATAGAGAATTTTATGGATTAAATATGGCGTGGAACTTATATTCCAGCTACACGTAGTGAAGTCCAACGACTTCAATTACAACTTGAAAATAAATGATTTTCATTTAATGGACAATCAATTGAGAAAAAATCATTTACAGATGGACCAAAGAAAGGTTGTACATTGATCTGTCTCTCAATAAATAATCTTAATCTTTTTTTTTAAGCTAACACTAATAATAATACTCAATCATTTGATGAATTACCAGAAGATATATTCAATTATCAATTGAACGTAAACGTTTAGCTGATTATTATCGTAAAGCATATAAAAAAGTGAATCATAGACGAGAAGAAACTCGATAAACAACTATACGTCAATGTGAAAATTCATTTTATGTTGATACTGTTCCAGCAGTGGGCAACAAATCGATCGGTGAGACAAATGCTCATTTAGAGCGGAAAAATGCCCTCCACGTCAAAAATGAATTTTTTTCCATTCTGTTCATATAGGACGACCGTCATATACATATATGCGTATGCGTCCATATTTCATTCCTATCTCATTCTTCCATGAATACCATTCAGAAAAGGAATACGTGCCAACACACACTTCCCC